TATCTCCAACCCAGACCTGAGCTCCAGAGTAATGAATCCTATTCACTGCTGTTACCTGGAGATGGACATGCATCTGAAATGCAATCCAAGTGCATAACGGATGGACGGCTGTCTTTTATTCTCCAGAAAACAGATTTTGTCTATCTCATATGCAGATTGGAATTACCTAAGAAGAGTTGAAAAATATGATGCCCAAATCTCATCTCCAGAGACTCTGTTTTAATTCATCTGTAGTTTCCCTCAGGAAACAAAAAAACACAACTCCCTCAGAAATTCTAATGCATGGTAAAGGCTAAGAACAAATGCCCTAAAAGCTATTCTTTCTCAGATGTTTCTCGTTTTATGAAACAGTCCCACCATTCACCCAGAGGCTTAGGTTAGAGGGTTGAACACCTTTAACGTGTTCTTGCCTCTCTGAACACTGCCCTTCTAAACAATGATTCAGATCAATCAATATATGAGTGCTAGGGAGGAGGTGCATACGCACACTCGTTTTTACCTTCATCCTCTCAAAAATGCAGTATGAAAATTTAATACCTGAATGTACTGAAAGCCAGTTCTCTGACTGTAAGAAACAGTGCTTGCAAAAAGAGATATTAATATCTGAGAGGAGCAGAGGAAGAAAGTTTAGGCCCTTGTGGTGTTAGGATTCTTTTACTTTTCTATCCATTGCCTTAGACCTAAGCACACAGCCAGGTAGGAATGTGTAAGTAAAATCAATGTTTAAAGTTCCACCCACCACCCTAAATCCCTTGAGGGCATGATCTTCAGCGGCTCCCAGGTGGACACATGATTCACCATTTATTATCAACAGCTTCAAGGCCAATATATGAGAGCACACTAACCTGACTGTGGAGAGACTATGGTGTGGCATAACCTGATGAAGCCCTGGAGATGGAGCCAAAGTTAAAGCATTTGCTTGCTGAGTGATTCAAAGAGGATCTAACTCATGACAGCTATGAGACAAACTTGCAGGACAATTACATAAAACAGAGGTTTTAAAAAAAAAACAAAACAAAAAAACCCCAGAGGTTTTTGACATTTGTTTTGCTGGACTGAACTTAGATTTTCACTTGCTAACTGAGAAGGTGTCTGAATTAATTGAGGATTGTGTGTCTTGCTGTTAATCTGGTTTGAGATTATGCTTTACTAAACCTGAACTTTAACTGTGTGGTATCTTTTGCCTCCTCCACCTCATAACCTATTTCCCTAATAAATCCCACAACTGTAAATAAAAACAGATTTTGTAAAGACTCTTGGTCATTTGCAGTGATTGGCAGAAGTAGGTGCAGGAGCATGGAGAGCCACGTCTGACCTTGTGAGGATCAACTGTATACTGTGGACATTGTTGATGGGGACAGTTTCCCTTGTGGAAATAGTAGTAGATGCCTGACATTATTGATTCTCCTTGATGAACTTAGGCACCAAAGGTGCCTCATCTTCTTTACCATTAGATTCTCCAGATATACGAGCCTACAAATTCCCTTTGCATCAGTCAGTGTGCACTGGATTTTCTGATAAAAACAATACTAATAGATAGGAATTTCCTTCCCTTATTATATGTTCCTATAGCAGTTTACTATTTTGCAACATCTGGTATATCTGAAATTATTTTCCTCAATGGATTAAAATTTAGACATGAGCTAGGATCTCGTCTGCTACATTCACTACTCTAGCCTCAGTGACCCCAGCACAATATGTGGCACAAATTATTAGAATAAACTAGTATAGGTAAAAAAATAAATCAATAAATAAATAAACTGGAGCCACTGTCAAGGAAGCCAGGTGTCCTTATCAGGCTGACCCAAAACAGGCTCACTATGGCAAAAATCAACTGCTGACAGCAGTCTCATACAATTCTTTTTGAGTACTTCTAACAAAACATTTTAGGTCACAGACTGACTCCAAACCAGAATGAAATGAAACATTTCAGGTTAGGTATGATAGAAATGCAACAGGTTTCTGGAACTACAAAAGGACTGTTAGTAGCCATTTCCTGACAAATGTTTACCCCTTTCATCTTCATCCTTCACACCATCCTTTAAGAGTAGCATAAAACCATGACTAACAAAAGGGAACTCTGGTGGTCCAATGGTAAGAAGCTATGTTGCCAAAAGACACATACTGACTGGAAACAAACATTTGGTAATACCATCTGGACAAGAGTCTCATAATGAAAGTTTGCAGAATACTCCTGGGCCTCCACAAGAAAAAGACTAATAACCCAATCACAAAATGGGCAAAAGATATGGAAAGAATTTTTAACAGGTGAAGATATTTGAATGGCCAACAGACACAAAAGGAAATGCTCAAAATCACTGGCAATAAGAGAGATGCAAATCAAAACCACAATGAGATACCATCTCACTCCAGTAACAGTGGCAAAATTTAAGAGGACAGTAACTAATAAATATTGGAGAGGATGTGGTGAGAAAGGAACTCTTTTTTTTTTAATTTTTGTGTGAGTGTACCGTCAAATCAGATCTGACTGGTACAGGAGGAGATTGTCCCTCCTTTTCCCGGCAGAGCACCTGGTGGATTCGAACCGTGTGCCTCTGGGATTGTAGTTGAAGCTCCTTGCCACTAGGCCACCAGAGCTCCCCGAGAAAGGAACTCTTATACATTGTTGGTGGGGTTAAGAATGGTAGAACCATTCTAGAAGGTAGTTTCGCACTTCCCCAAAAAGATGAACATAGAAATTTCATATAATCCAGCTATTCCAATGCTTGAAATATACCTTGAGAAAATGAGAAGTGAGGTAACAAATGTCGAACTGTACACCAATGTTCACAGCAGCATTATTCACCATTACAAGAACATGGAAACAGCCCAGATGTCCAACTATAATCGAATGGATTAAGAAATTATGGTACATTCACACAATGGAATACTATACAGCATGCAGGAGCAATGATTTTGTAAATTATTAACCTACTTTGGGAGGGACTGGAGGGCATTAAGCTGAGTGAACTGACTCAGTCCCACAAGGACAAATATTATACAAAACCATTATTGTAGAAGGAGTATGAAGATCCAAGGGGAGGAGGATGGAAGCAGAGGGATGAGGATGTGCCTGTGGATTAGTCATGGGGTTGTACAATTTGATGTGGGGGTGAGGGAAATTCGAAAAATCTGATGTGAAAAACAATGTATTTGAATTTTGTAAGTAAACTAGTATAATTTAGAAAAATGAAAAAAAGACACATAGCTCAAATCTACCAGCTGCTCAGAGGAAGAAAGATGGGCACTCTATGCCTCACATAATTTACAGCCTCTGAAAACTCACTGAGGGGTCAGCTATGTATGAGTCGGTTCCTACACAACGGTACAGAACAACAACAATAGTAATACAAATTGGGTTCTTTACCTGATTCACTGTTGGTGGGAGTGTAAAATGGTGCAACCCCTGTGGAAAGCAGTATGGCGCTTTCTCAAAAAGTTGCAAATAGAGATACCATTTGACCCAGCAATTCCACTACTGGGAATATACCCTGAAGAGACCATAGCTGACATCCAAGCAGATATATGCACACCCATGTTTATTGCAGCTTTGTTCACAATAGCAAGGAGTTGGAAACAACCTAAGTGCCCATCAACAAACGAATGGCTAGAGAAGCTGTGGTATATTCGCACAATGGAATACTATGCTGCATTAAAAAACAAGGAACTCATGCAATATTATTCAAAATGGTTGACTCTGGAGAACATTATGCTGAGTGAAATATCCCAGTCACAAAAGGACAAATATTACATGATGCCACTGTTGTAGAATGGGACTGTCCTTGGGGTTAGGGAGACACTGAGTAAGATGGGTTCAATAATGTATACTGCACTGAAGCAGAGGAGGGAGAGAACCGTCTAAAAGAGAGATGTAACTGGGTATTTCTGTCATCACAGGAGACTAGAGCGAGGGCTGCATGGTGGAGGGGACCTGGGGGAGGGTTTGTAAAACAATGAAAGAATCTTTTCTTTTACTTTTCCATAATTTTTGGACTCATGTACTTATAACTTGTTAGTCAAATTTGTGTCTTCTAGGTTGCAACACCCCCATGATACATCTTCAAGGATATGTACATGTACAGCCAAGCACAATCAATAAGAGTGCATCTGAATTCCAAAATCAATCTCCATAATAGTCTATGTGTTTCCTACTGCCAAAGGGGCCCTTTAGAGTAGTGAGAGAAGATCTTCACCCTGAAACCCACAGCGTCCCTTTTCAGCAGGAAGTAGCTAAGAGAATACGCCGTCCCCTTTTCCTTATGACTCAGAGTGAAGTCTCTCTCAGGGAGGAGTGATAGGGAATGGCAAAGGATACACTGACAAAGAAGATTAATCAGAACTGGCTTTGACAAGCACTGTGGCATTTGGACAAGAACAAACTGGGAGGAGGGTAGAGAGAATAGTGCAACAATGAATGAGTGGAAGCCCAAAATCTCTGTAAATGTTTATGAAAATTAATAAAATATAATTATAGGGAAAAAAAAAAAACAAAAAAAAACCAAATTGGGTTCTTTAACATTGGTGGTGGTGGTTGTTATTGTTATTATGTGCCATTGATTCACCTGCGACTCATATTCAATGTACAGCCCTAAACCCTGCTCTATCCTATGCCAATCTCACTGTCTCTGACACACCCACCCCAAAAACCCGTCACGGAATCAATCCACCTCATAGAGCTTCTTCCTCAGTTATGAAATTATGAGGTTTTTGGCAGGAATCATGCCTCCCTTTTATGATATTTACTGTGTAATTAATGCTTTCAAGAAACTTTTAAGTATTTAAAGAAATTTATATAAGCATTTTTGTTCTCTATAAACAGAAAGCACTCAACCAAAATGTCAAAACACACACACGCATACTGTTCTAGTTCTTGATATAGAGAATTAAAACCTTTTTAATTCTGGTTATGTCTGTGAGAAATCCATCACACTTAAAATCATGTCTCAAAGTGGCATTAAAAACTCGAGCTCTGTATCACTTCTCACATCAATGTAGCTTACCTTATTTCTCAGATATCTAGAAGAGCTTCTAATATTAGCATTCAGATGAGAAACATGAATCAACTTCTCAACCCCAACCTCCTTACACACTTGAGCAATTGCATGGGGAATCTTCACAAAAACATCCTCATAATCAAAGTTTCTGGTGAGTAAAGAAGAGATTAGTTATAAGAACCAAAATGAATCAGAATTTCAAAGTCTTCTAGGATAAGCTGATTTATCCCATATGGGTTGGAATTCATAACAGTTAAACTGTGTGGTCATTCCAACAATTTATCAAGCTCAGCAGAGAAGTGGAGTGTCACTGGTGGGACAGCTGGTGTCAGAAATACTAAGAATGTTGAAGATGGGAGATATGTCTCATCTCCACTTCCCAGGAGTCAGCTTTGGGCTATTCACCTGATTAACAGTACCGATTTAATTCAAAACCTAAATTAACTTGGTTTTTGTTTTTTTAATTCTATAGGTCTGCTAACTGTCATTACTAAACATAATTTACTTCTTATTATTTGGTATAAATCCATCATGCAGCATATTCTGTGTCTGCAAAGAATCCTGAAGCGGAGAGCCTTTAAATAACCTTGGCGCACTGGCCAGGAAGAAAGTGTATTGGGGAGCAAGGAAGGGAACTAACTACTTCTTGGCCTCAGAGTTTAGTTTACTCAAGGGGAAAAAAAAATAAACTAAATATGTCAGTGATTCAATTCAATGTCATTAATTAAATACTTACTCTGTATAAGACACTGTATTAGTCATTCTAAGGAATAGCTAAGAATGCAGTATAGTGAGTTATTTAATATGCTCTTTCTAATCACAGTCTTTGGAAGCAGGAGTGGCATCCACTTCCTAACCACATGCCCCCAGAAACTCTATGAACTTTGATAAATGTCAATAGTTGTAGAGGGGCTTCAGGCCTTTTGTTCATAGGGTCACTATGAGTCGTGCTCAACTCGAAGGTAATCAACAACAAAAATCATAGTCTTTGTAACTTTCACTAGATGGACAAGACTCTGAAAATGAGGTGGTTTTGACTCACCAAAGGGATTGGGTCGCTTCCTAAAAATGTAAATAATATGCATGACAACCTGCTGGGATTTCTGTCACTGAGTCAACTATAGTTGACTATAGTTCACCCTGTGAACAACAGACCTAAACCTTGCCCTATCTTGTGCCATCCTCACCATCTCTGACATCCTCACCATCTCTGACAAACTCAAAGCGATTGTTAAAGTCACTGTCTCAATTTATCTTGTTGATGGCCTTCCTGTCTTTCTCTGATCCCTCACCTTTGTAAGCATGATGTCTTCTGGGGTAGGACCATGAAAAGTTCCCTAACAAGGGGACTGTCAGTTTTACCATCCCTCTAGGTTTAAAATGAACCATCCCACGTCTGGAAAGGGTAACCTAACTACCACAAAGAAGAGACAGGAGCAGAATGTCCTTTAGACATGGGGTTCCCTACTGAGTACCTCCTACACTCAGGTGACAGAGAGAGCTGTACCCTCACAAGAAGACACAGTCACAAGCAATGGCAGGAAATGGTGGTAACAGATGCAACAGAACCAGGAGACTAGCAGGAGCTAGAACAGTGGTATTCCAGACTCACATGAGAAAGAGAAATGAGTGTCTTCAAGCAGGAGGATTGTTGACAGAGTGGGGAAGGCAGTGAGGAGAGGTATACTTCCAAGCATTTATCAGACTCGATAAAGAGAGCTGAGCACCTTCAAGTTAAGGGTTAATGATGAAAAAGATGCCTTGGGCAATTATTTGCTGAGCAAAAGAGTTTTTTAACACTTGTCTAGGCAGGGAGAAGGCAGGACATAGGGCTCAAGAGGCCCAAGGAGCTGAGAGACTGAGACTGAGAGAGCTAAGTGTGGCTAAGTTCTGATCTGAATTAGAACCTTTTGCTTCCCTAATAAATCTATAATTGTGAATATTGTTTGTGAGTTCTGGATAGCCACTGTGATGAGTTATTACAACAGCAGAGAAGTAAAAAATGCTGCTGGAGAGGGACAGTTGATGCTTCAATTGGTAAAAAGTATGTCTAACCTCCACTTCATAGGATTCAGCACTGGACTGCTGATCGTGGTTCTTTCTCTTCTACTATGAAGTCAGAGAAGACCAGATGCCTCTGTCATGCCATTTTTACACTAGAAGACCCTCTAGTCATCAAAGAATTTTTAAAACTATATAATGGTACATATATAAATAAATTTAAGTTCAACTTTAATAAATGCTATAGAAGTGGTATGAAAATAGTGCTGTGCACCAGAGGAATATTATTTGCTGATAAAAAACACATAAAGCACACAAAGGCTTAAAAAAATTCCAGGGCAGCTCTGGTGGCCTAGTGGCAAGAAGTTGCACTGCAATCCCAGAGGCAGACATTTCGAATCCACCAGATGCTCTGCGGGGAAGGAGGGACAATCTCTTCCTGTACCAGTCAGATCTGATTTGATGGCACACACACACACACACACACACACACACACACACAAATAATATTTTAAAAAAAAAATTCCAACTGTTCAAAGTAGTAGTCATGGCATTTTAAATTACAATTCTAGAACTGTCTAGAATCAGTATTCAAAAAGAACAGTGGAAGAAGCAAAATCTTATTTCCTAATCCAGTCTGAGATGGGCAGACCCAGGCACAGCTCTAACAAGGGTCATTCCCTCAAGCCAATGATACAAACCACACTGATTTTTTTATGAATAGCACACGGTGCTGCTGACAAATTCCAGACTTAATGCTAGCTAAGGACCAACAACATATTCTAAGGAAGCTGCTGATACGTAAATTGGTCATCAGGTCTTACTGATGGACAAATTGAAAATGTCCCCACTATAATACCTGCCATGTTGAACCCACTCTTCCACTCACTGCCACTGAGTCAGAACTGACTCACAGCTGGTTCTTCCTGGGTTGCTGAGGTTGTAAATCACACAGGAGACTGCCTGTCTTTTTCCAACAGAGTAGCTAGTGGATTAGTATTGCTACAGGCATGAGCTTTGGGTTAGCAGTGCAACTTCCTACAGGGTACATCCCCAGAGATCCCTGACAAATTCTACATAAATCTCGACTGCACCATAGCAATTATTCAGAGAAGAAAGGAGAATCAAAGACTTACTTAGTTTCCCATTCTCGCCCGACAAGATTGATGACAACATTGCTGTGCTCCACTGCTCTTCGGATGGAATCTTTGTCTCTTCCACTCCATTCCTGAAACAGCAGTTGTCAATCAGATGAAAATATAAGGCGTATACCCTGCACATAACACTTTTGTAGCCTTCACAGGCATGCTTCAAAATGGCCCACTTGTTCATTTTGTGCCATTTCCTGCAGGCTTTATTTATCAGAACAAAAATGATTCTGAGGTCTCAAACCGCTTTCTGGTTTTCTGACCTTTCCAGAGAGAAACAAGTCAAAGTATATTTTACATAGGTAATCAAACCATAGAAAGTGAAAGGCTGATTGATCACTTTCAATCAAACACTATCAAATGTCAAAGGTAAGAGGGAGAGAATCCAAGAGTATTACGAAAGGAAGAGCATGTGGCATAACTACATGAATGGCCTAGAACAGTGGAAAAAGAAAATCACAAATAAACTGGCAGCACTTTTTCTAAGATATATGTTTATTCTTTTGGCAGTCCATGAGATATTCAATACTCTTCTTTAGCACAACAACTCAAAGGCATTAATGCTTCTTCTATCATCCTTTGTCACTGTCCAGCTCTCTGATGTGTAGCAGGTGAGAAGACCACAGCCTGAATTAGGATTAGGTACACCTTAGTCTTCAAACAGGCATTATTGCTCTTCATCATTTTGGAGAGGTCCCTGACAGTGGACTTGCCCAGTGACATACATCTCCTGATTTTGGAGAGTCAGCTATGGGTTAGTTCTGACACTATGGCAAACAGTAACAACAACCTGGTACCAAGGTTGTTGATTATAGATTAAACTAAGGTAACATATTCCGTTACTAGTCAAGCATTTTAACCCCTGTGCTACCTGGGCTCACTCATTTGTTAATGATATCAGCTGCCAAGTCAGTTCTGACTTTTAACAACCCTCTCCTGGGTTTACTAATGACACAGTATATACATTATCTTAAGTCTTTAAAAGCTTGTGTACAACGCAAGTCAGTTGAGTCTAGGTACATGGAAAATGCTAAATAGCCGTATGTGGCTTATGACCACCAAACTGGATAGCAGAAACCTAGAGCTGTGGCCCACACATTAAATCCAGCAGCCTAACTTGATAGATTTATTAGAACACAACTATACAAATTCATTTCTGTACTGTCCAAGATTGTGTAGAAGCTAAAAAGGCAGAGCTGAGTAATTACAACAAGGATCTTACAACTCATAAAGCATACAATCTTTACAACAGTGTCTTTTGCAGAAAAAGTTTGCTGACCACAAGTCTAGGGTTTGTATGCCAAGATATGGGATGCAGGAATCAAGCTGAAAAAAAAAGGCCTTTTGGGTGAAAGAAGCCGCTGAGCCAGTCTCCAATGAAAGTGTTGCTTCATAACATTGCTTCTTTCCTGAAAATGACCTTAACTAATTAATTTTCAATTCCAGTAACTAGCCATGAAAGCTCTTACCAGGAAGATAATCTGTCCCAAGTCACCCATTGGACGAAGGTGCATGAGGTCGTAAGTGTCACAACGATAAGGAATGATCACCTGTGAACCCATACGGCCTGCGAAAAGAAGATTCAAACATCAGCATAATATACGGTTAAGCTGTAAGAGAATGAATACTTGGTAAATATTGAAATTGAAGTATATGAATTGATAGTATATTTGAAAAAGTAATATTTTGCCATGTTAAAGATGCCATAGGAGCCTTGGTGGCACAGTCCTCAAGCCCTCACTCCTAATCATGAGACTGGCAGTTCAAACCCGTCAGGTGCTCATTGGATATCACAGTTTATTTCAAGAAAGATTTATACACTTGAGAATTCTATAGGGCTGTTTAATTCTAATCTATAGGGCTTCTACAAGTCAGAATGAACTAGATAGCAACAGGTTTGGACTTGGTTTCTTAATACACTGTGACTTTCAGAGTTCTCTACTATTCCTATTTTAGCATCCTACAGTGAAACCTGGGAGATCCAGAACTCAAAAGAACTGCCTTGTTTTCCCAAGTCTCCCAAGTTTTCTCACTTTCACTGGTCTTATCACTTTTCTACAGTTGATTTAAGTGGGTAATTGGAGTTCTCCTTCTCTGAGAGACTTTTGCATCACTGAGTTCTGGTGTTCACAGGCATTTACTGCTTGTTATTGGGCAGCACGGGTACGCTCACAATGCTAGACTGGCTGTGCCACTGAGGTGGAACAACTCACAGCTGACCCTCCACAGAGTTTCCGAGGGCTGTAAATCACATGGAAGGAAACTAACCCTCATTCTCCCGTGGAGCCACAAATGGAGTCAAACTGCCAGGGAGGCGTCACCTGTAAGCCAGCAGTGCAACCCGCTTCAGTCTACACCACTAGAGATCCCCTAGTAGATAAGTGACATCAAATCAGAAGAGGAATATGATTAATAACACTATGAAAAGAAACACACTTCATGGCCTCTCATCAGGCACATCCCTACCTAACTGGCAGTGAAGCCTACTGAATTTAAGGAACTTTACTTACCAAGACGGTTGACAACGTATCGACCCAGGAATCCCGTTGCTCCAAACACGGTGGCCACAATCCCACTGAATGAGGAGCGCCCACCTTTCCCATGAGGAATGATTGCATGATGAAGCTGGCGCTGGGGTGCAGCATGAAACACAGACGTGGCTACCGCAGTGATACCAGAACCTGAAGCAAAACATCAGAATACAGAAAAATGGCAAACATGGCTCTAAAGAAACTATGATCACAAGTAGCTTCTTTCCTAGAAACTTGTACCATTATTTTAACAACCTCTCATTAAACTGTTGAATGCTAGCAGCAACAAGAAATGCAAATTACTGCAACAAAGAATCTACAAGGCAGGAGGACATAAAAAAAAAAGTTAGAAAGTCTCTGTCCTATTTACTTAGGAAAATAAATGACAAATTTAAAAATAATTATACAAATAAGCTACGAAAGGATTATAGATCTTTATGGTCAAGTAGATGAGAGAATACAAAACATCAGAATTATAAATCAAAGGCTCTAATCATGAAGAAGGATTCCTGAATAAAGTGTTTTTGCAAGAATTTTGAAAGAATAGATGCCCAAGTTAAAATGCAATACATATAAGAGTACAGATGTGGAAATAAATATATAAATAGGTCATGGAACCATAAAACATCTACCTGAAACAGACTCTTGAGATTGGTGACTAAGGAAAAATAAAGTTGGTGATTAAAATTGCTTAGCAGAGATGATGGAAAAATTATTTTCTAACTTTTAAATAGGTTAATAGTCAGTGGCTATCTCAAGGTTGTATAAATTAACCTCTGCATCAAGGTTCCTATTTTCTCTATGGTATGTATGAAGGGTCTACCTGGCCTGCGCATGAACAATCCTGGGGCTGGGACACACTGCTTTCTACATTAGTCCATTCTGTTTTGATCCATTCTGAAAGAAATTCTACTATATGAGAATACACAAGTAATTCCCAATAGTTTGTATTTCTAGGTTTGTAGAAAAAAACAAGTTTATTCCCTTTTCCATATTTAAACACTGCCCATCAAGAATTATATTCCCATCAAGTATTCCAAGATTAATTATTTCTATTATCAAGTTCTCTCAACTATTCCTCATATAGCAAAAATGTAAATATCTTTCCAACACACTCCAATTTTCTTTCTCTTCTCCTTTCTCCCACTTATGAGATTTATTAGGGAAGTAACAGATTACAATTTGGGAATGGAAATGGCTCCGGGACAGCTTTCAACCATGCCTGCAAGCACATCTCTCTCTGGCCCTCTGCCTCCTGGAGACCACTGCCTCTACTACACTGCAAATATTACAGAGCTCTTCTCTATAATTAACACGTTGCCGCAAATGACGGTGATACACATCAAAGGGAAAAAAAATAAAATGTGTGTCTAAGCACGGTTGTCAATTTAAAAGTGTGTGGCAACATGTTAAGTGCCTAGAGGAACCCAGCCCACCAGTAAGCTTCTAGCCCAAAGATGCTTGGCTTTCTTGCTCCATAGGGTAGGAAGCTGAGCACCCTATCTCCCGTCAGTCTCCTAGTGCTGTCTATTGCTAACAGTTCTCTGGTACTGCTTTTTGCCTTCTCTCATAACCTTTGGTGTTAGTCCTCTGTCTCCTTGGTCTTTGTGGTTCCTACATTCAAAGGACAGACTCCATTCCTGAATCTTCTTTCTTGGTAGTTGTGATTTGACAAGTTATTAGAGCAGAGTGTTAAAGCAAGTTACCTAATATCCTATGTGGTAAGTAGAAAACAACTAAAACGGTTTAAAGGGCTAAAAGACTTTTCTGCTACAATCACCAAAGTTTAACGTCTGTTTAGTGCCTTATAATTCCAGAGAAAAGTAGAAAGAGACAAACAGGAATTGCTTTAGAAAACAGGGCATTTATTTTCTGGGTATTACTTTCCAGTGATACTCTATTCCTGAATTATGCTTTTCATATCCATAAGTACGGAACTGAAGAAGAATCTATTTCATCAGACAATGAGAAAAATCTGGAAATTCAAAGCAAGTACCACAGATCAGATACATAACAACACTTTAACTAGAGGGGGTTATATCGGGTGCCAGGGATTTAATATAATTTAATGCAATCTTAACCTTACTCTAAAGATGAGGAAACAAAGGCTCAAGAAGTGACTGGTCCAAGGTCAACCACAGCTAGTTAAGTTGCAAAACCAGCTGATTCTAGCCTGCACTCTTAACCATATGGCAACACTGCCTCTCATAGGTATTTATGACAAATGGCAAGTATATGTCCTTGTGAGCCAGTGGGAGAGGAAAATTAATAAGAAAAAGATACATAATTACTGGTCCTCTTCTTTGTAGCAGTAGTAAAGATCTTTTTTAAAGTGATTGGCTTGATACTTACCCATAACAGATTGGTATTCAAGATAATTTATACATGTAACTAAAAATAAAAGAAGGGTGCTGGGAGAGATATAGTGAACATAGCTTAGCGAGGCAGCCTCTAAAGGACATATCCTTAGGTTAGACAGACATGAAAGCAGAAGGCAAGAATGCACAAAACAAAGACAACAATTTCAAGATTGACCTTACAGCAGATGACAAGGAGCTCACCTATCTTAACAGGAGAGAAGGCAGAGAACTACAAGAATAGGAACATGTTAGTTGTTGGAGTTTATTGTAGGAAAAAGGTATTGTTCTCATCTGATTCCTTTTATTTTTCTGTAAAGCTAAGAATGATGCAGAAGTATATGTTAGAAGTTTTAGGAGACTGGTAATGTTAAACAATTATGAAGGCAAGTGGGGAAAGAAATTTTCTAGAATATAAGGCTAACAACATTCCTAAAATCAGTGTTCACAGATCTAACTAAAGCCAGTCAGCTGAGCTGGATTTTTTCCAGATCCATTTTCAGACAAAAGCCAGAAGTAAATGAAAATCTTGGTTTCATCAGGAATTAATTCATTTATGAAAAAGAAAGACGGGCTTGGGAGTTCAGTAATTAGTGTAATGAGTAAGGAAATGAGTGTACAAAGAACATGACAGATGATAACAGAGTCAATGAACGGAAAGTACCAATGTGGTTGAAGAATTACTGGGAGTCACAAAGGACTATAATAAGTAGTGAAGTAGATGTCCACAAGGCATTTACCATACCACCTAGGATATACTACACACTATGAATCACAGTTGTTTACATTTACTCTCAGTTCAGAATTTCTCAAAAAGTAATGTTACCACTAGTCTCACATCGTTGTTGGTTTGTTGGTTTTTAAACAATAATGGTCTAAGTACTATTCTAGAAATTACTTAGTACAAAAGATTGACATCCTAAGGGCTCACTGCTACAAGAATAACATACAAGAGAACACCTGTTATAGTGCCCTGAAAATTGTACCAAGCCAAGCCCTTGGTCACTGATTCCAAATCACAGAAGACTACAGGACAGATCAGAAGTGCCCCAAAGGATCTCCTCCACGTCTTAATCTTTGTAAGAGCAGCTGGACAGATCTTTTCTCCCATGGAGCAGCTGGGAGGTGTAAACCACTAACCCTGTGGTTAGCAGTCAAGCACTTAAGCACTGCACTATCAACAGCTCTTTCTTACAATAATAAGGTGCCCAATGAATATGTATTTACTGCCATTAAAATTTTACTTTCTATGATTGCAGTCTATTTCCTTTCATTTATTATCAACCCCAATATGGAATAATGATCCTTAAATAGCTCTCTTCTAATTATATTCCTAGGAAACTCTGCTGACCTAGTGGAAAGCACCTGCACTGCCAATCCAAAGGCACATAGTTCAAACAACAGCTGCACCAAGAAGAAAAGATGGGCAATCACCTTCGGTGTAATTTATTGCATCTGAAAACCCACCTGAGGGTCAGCTATGTGTTGGTTCCAACTCCAGGTTATACAACAACAATTATACGGCTCAAAAGCCTATTGCAATACTTAAACCAATGATCTGCAAACAATTTTGCTTACACCCTGCACTGTTGCTGTTAGGTGTCATCAAGTTAGGAATGACTCTTAGTGACCTATGAACAACAGATCTGAACCCTGTCATATCCTGTGCCAACCTCACAATCTCTGACACATTTGAGCTCACTGCTGAAGTATGTTGTTTTTTAAAAAAAAACAAAAAAAAAAACCCCATTTATTTATTAATTACATACATGTTATACTACATCAATATACAATATAAAAACCAAACACCAAACCAGTTGCCTTGGGACCAATACTGCTTCACAGACACTGTGTGTGTCACAGTCTGCATTCCATAGGGCTTCCAATGGCTCACTTGTGGAAGATCTCCATGTCTTTCTTTTGTGCACCTCTGAGTAGACTAGAATCATGAACCCTTTGCTTAATAGTGAGAATGTTAACCGTTAGCACCATCCAGTGACTTCAGATCACAACTACCCTTCAAGACTAGTGCAAGCGCTACAATCCTCCAGCATGTCTTCTCTAGTACCTCTTCACTATTTCAAAACATACTAATCTTTCCTTTTCCTGATTGCTTATGGTACTTAGTAGTCTTTTTCATTGAACTATATGCAATTACAAAGTTCCATTCTTTTTTTTAAGTTATGGGACTTTATGCAAATAAATACTTGATTTCAAAGAAACATTTAATGTAAAAACAAATATTCACTTGAAAAAAAAAACAAAAACAAAACAAAGTTCCATTCTAAAGTATTTTGATGTTACACACCATGTCTTTTTCTACTACTTATTTAAACCACCTTACCAGAGACAGTAAAGCAGAGCAGGTAAATTAATCCTGAGTAGAGAGAGAGAGATAGAGATAGATAGATTTGTTGTTTGGTGCCGTGGAGTCTTAGACAACTCATAGCGACCCTATGAATGAACAGCCTGAGCACTGTTCATACATAGAGTTTCCGGAGGCAAGCCATTTCGGAAGTAGATGCCGCTCCTGCTTCCAGGCTTGATTTAGTCGGGAAGCTTCCTCTCCCTGCTGCCTTTGGGCTTAAGGCCGCCTCCTAGTTCAAACCGTAGGCCCAGGCTGGCTTGCCTCGCTGCTGGGACAGAGCAAACCTGCATGTCAAACACATGCCCAGAAAGCAGTCGACTCCAAGAGCTTGCTACAATTCCTGTGCTCATGCCACCATGCTCCCAGAGATATATAGATACATATATATACACACACATATACATACACATATGTTGTTACTGTTG